TGGCATCGATGTTATAGCCAAAGCTTCAATTCTCCAAGACCGCACTAAGTGCAAATCAAGTGCCACCGTAGCAACCCTGCATCATGGCATACGGGGCATATTTGGTAGAGTCTTTGTGACACTCAACTGCTATGCATTGGTCCTTTGGTGGCTAGAAGTGGCAGTACAGGGAAGCTATTTGTCAAACATCTGGCGAAGCATCTGGCGACCTTCGTGCTCCTGCAGCCGTCGCTGGCACCAAGAATTGTGCAACTGCAGATCTTCTTTCTCTTATGAAGACACCCAGCCCTTGCAAGGAGTGTCACAGATACTGTCACGAACACAGATACGCAGGAACCAGCAGAAAACAGCTCAGACGATGAGTTTTCCTGTGTCCAAGACTGCCAGCAAAACCAGCCCCAGGCAACCAAGCAAAAGGGTCTCAACGAGCTACCCTCGCCGCAATGCCTTTCTCATTCACAAGTCAGCAGAGCAGGCTGGCGACTGCAGGATAGAAGCATGTCTTCCAATGATTCTCGCATACGGCCGTGCAGTCAGCAGTACCAGCTTCAAGCTTGGGACATTGCTGTGTGAAACACCAGTCACACAGGACAGTAAAGTTCTTGGCACCACCAAAAAGAACTCACAAAAAAGGACTGCTGTCAGTGTGTCAGGCTCTTCCAGATAGCAGCAATGGTCCGGCAATTTAGTAAGTTTCGTCTAGCAAGATTGAGTCTGCCTCTTTTCGTCAAAGCTGTTCATCAGTTCATCAAGCTTCGGTTGCGAAACATCAAGCCGAAGTAAAACAACCTTTGCTGGGAAAGCTCTTGGGGCAGTTTCTAAGCTACCGGGGCCGCAGCCTCACAAGAATTCATGAGAAAAAGGGAGCCTCAAGGAAATGCATCATATATAAGAATCCCTAGGTTAAAGGAGGAAAATCCAAGCAAAGAGACCTCCACAAGCTGTTTGTTTTTTCCCAAGCTAGGAACTCGGCAGGTGCCTTGTGTCAATACTTGCTGGGAGCAGCTCAGATTCATCCAGTGGCTCGGCTCCCATCCCTTTTCATTGCGGCTTCTTTTGAAAAGCTAGGCGGCGACAGGAATATGGTGCTCGTGAAATTACTATTCAGTGCATCATCGTTCGAAGGTGCCCTGTGCCCACCTCTTTCGGCATTCATTTCGTATTGGTCAAGGAGCAGGTTTGAAACATGTGATCAAGGCTTCGCAAAGGATCTACCTTAGGTACCATATCAAGTGAAGACACGTCTGCATACTATCCACCAAGGGGTGTCTTTGGACAGGTTGCGGCACAATCTGAAGCTGCTTGTAGATTTGTTTGCGCACGACTCAAAACAAGTTTACAGACACTGAATGAGAGCCTACCCAAATATTGAAGCCTTCAGTTGGCTTTGAGTGATGTGCGCATAGCGTATGTATGAATTCATATGTTTGCACTGTGCAGGGCCGATCACTTTCTTCCTGGAATTGAGTCACTTTCGCACTAGTTTAGCAGCACTTAAAGAAGGTGGCGTTCCATTCGGGTTTTGTCTAGCAAAGTCCGTGCTTGGCAATTCACAAGACCCGTCTCGAGAGAACAAACCCGTTCGACATGCGGGAGTAGCAGTGAGCAGTGATGTCTGCTGCAGGATCTGCAGGCTTGCTTATGTCGCAAATCTCAGGTGCCAACTGTTTGTTGAGGCAACAAGCCGAAGTAGTTGGAACAGTGCTTGCAAACATCTAGCCTCCTTCCGTTTTGCCTGACCTTTACCCTTCACAGTCAGCTGCGATGTTTCTCGAGTTGCAACACCAAATCTGCAGAGGCAACGCTCAGATCTTCTCTCCGCCTTTGTGTTTCGAAAGTCACGATGTTTCAAGGCCCCTTGGTATGTGCAACGGCCCGCCTCCTCAATTCTTGCGCTGCACACAGTTTTGCAAAAGAGTATCGAAATAACATCATGTTCTCTGTGTCTTGATGCTCTGAAGGTAGAGGTTCCAAGCAACGCAACCTCCATCATCCGCTCACCTCCGCCATTCTTTGGCAGCGTAGCTGCGTAGCTCCTTGATCTCCTTGTTGCAAGGCCCCACCATGCAAACATGCGTGCTGACGGGGCTGCGGCAAAAGAGAGTGCTCTGAGGCCTGACTTGTTGCAGACCTTGCCGTGGGCACCTCCATTTCACTCAGAACAAGACAGGAACATATCGCTTGCGAGACCAATACTTGGGTCATCATTGGAGCCAGCTTTCCCTTGCCAACCCTTCATTCTGTGCTGGTCACAAAGCACGTGAGACTTACCGATTTACCTCTGATTCTACACCACCACGAAAGCGCGTCTGCGTATAGTCCACTGAAAGCGCGCCTCAGGACAGGTTGTGGCAGATTGTTTGCACGACTCAAAACAAGTTTACAGACACTGAATGAGAGCCTACCCAAATAATTGAAGCCTTCAGTTGGCTTTGAGTGATGTGTGCATAGCGTATGTATGAATTCATATGTTTGCACTGTGCAGGGCCGATCACTTTCTTCCTGGAATTGAGTCACTTTCGCACTAGTTTAGCAGCACTTAAAGAAGGTGGTGTTCCATTCGGGTTTTGTCTAGCAAAGTCCGTG